GCTCCTTTACTTCACCAAGCCAGTAATAAAGCTGGTAAAGAGGAAAGGTTGGGTATGAGGCTAGCAACTCCATCCTGTAAAAATAAACAACACTGCTACAGAAACTTCAAGCCTCTAGCTTGAAAGTGCCATGTGTTCCACTAGGATCGGGAAGGAATGAAAAAAGAATCACGCGAAGACAGCTATTGATGAAGGTGTGTAGTTTGTTCAAAGTGCCCTTCGTGACGCGCTGGCCAAGTCTCTGATCCGTATAGTGAGTAGCACTGACTTCCCATTAAGGTTGGAGGGGATTCGAATTCAGCTCCATTTATTGTTGATGGAGACTAAACAAAAAAGAATCTAGTTTCACGTTTAGAACAGGTTTCTTTTCCTTCCAGGAGGAGGTCTTTCAAGACAGAGGATGACTGCTGAATGTATTTTATCAGTGAGTGAAATTTCAGCAACAAAAAAAATACAACATTTTCGTAGCAAATTGTATATGAATAATTAAGAAACAGGAGGTGAAATCAAGTAGAGTTTAAATTTTCCCACCTGATTAAAGCATTGAGCTATCTAATTGCCTATTCGCAATATTATTTGGGTCAATTTTTGATTGGACGCTAGTCCGTTACTAGTGCAATGTCTGGTTTAGTCCTTTCATTGGTACAGACGGAATTAATCTGTCAGTGAAGTTTGCAATGTGGCCACTATGCCACTAGGTGGCTCGCCATCACGAGGCCCTGCACTGTGAATTGTTGCCGTTAGATGGTTGAAGGCAATCGGCTGGTTGCCTCATCTGACTCATCAGTGTATATCCAATCCATTCGAGTTTAGTGTTGAGGATCTGGATCTTGTACGCATTAGTGAGTGAGTGTTATTCATCTCCACACTGATTTTATAGTAATGAATGAATGCCTATCTTGGTTTGTCAATCGTAATTGGCTTTGACACCTTCATCCGTGCCACTTGTAGTTGAAACCATACTACACAACAAAAGTGAAAGAGGTTGGCTATCTTCATCACCTTTGTCTTTCCTATGCTTACCTAATATCCTCTCATCGCTGCCTCTTTTTTCCAGCTCGTCCCTTTTCACTCGACGACCCTTGTGTCATATGATATCCCTAGGAGGTCTTCATAGAGTATATCTAATTTCGTGTGAAACCTCCCTTCTTACCAAGGATTACTGCCAGTTATAAATAAGGTGAAGGAGTGCATGGACCGTGGATGGAACCCCGGACTACGTGCGTAGTCACTGTTGTTATTCTGCCACTGAACCGCCATTGCTATTCTCACGAATACTTAAAAACTCAATTAAATTCAACTGATTTGACTTCACACACTCATACTCTCCGTTTCGCTCACTTTTAATCTAATTCCGAATTAATCTCATGTAGGTGAAAACAAAACAGGATCACATTGCGTAACATACATGCAAGCCTACCTTTGACATATAAACACACACACACACTCAAGCATATCACGAGCACCTGATCAGCTGATACACATGAATAATTACTAACTATTTTTTTCTATTTATGTTATTTTGTTGTTGATGACATTGTTTTGTTTTTTTGTTTGGTTCTATATCCCCTTTCGTTATGATTACACATTATCATCATTATGTAACCTGTCAAAGATTACAATGATTAGTTAGTTCACACACCCTTTTTTCGCACACACACACACACAAGTACACGTGTGTGCGTGTGCGTGTTAGCACAGAAAACATGAACACAGTGGCAAATATAACCACCCCCACCACTACCACCTTTCAATCAGAAATAGCTTAATAGAAACAACAAAAATTTTGAAAAAATGTCAAATGTATTTAACTTTATCTTCGTTTTTATTTTTTATTTATGTGATTATGAAGGTGACAAATGTAGAAACTTTTAAAAGTCACTTGATTTCACGCGCTCTCTCTCTCACACACTTTCTCAACCGGTAGTTGATTTGTTTTCTAACAAAACATACTACTTGAGAAGTCTTAATGTAGGACAAAAACGACATTGTTGTAAACAGGAAGATTCTATTTTACTTTTTTTCGTTGTTGTTGTTGTGATGTATGTACTAAACAGTGACGGCAAGGCTTATGAGATGATATTAGGTGATCTGTGAACTAGGAAATCGTTTTAAGGGGTGTGAACTTCACTATTTTATTGGGTTGACACACACACGTATGAATGCAATAACTCCCATCACAAAATAAGGCAAAAATATGCAACAGATGTAATTAGTTGTGGTTTATTGGCTTGAAAACTTTCCTTTCTGATTAGCAGACCCAAGGATTAAGTTTCTAATTATAAGTCTACCAGGAGGGACCTGTCTATGGTTAATTATTACTGTTATATGAAATGGAAACACAGTCTTAACAAGAACAAAGGTATCTCTGATATTTTCGCCATATGAAAACTGAAGACAACAATGGACGAAATCATTTGATTTGAAAACAAAATACGTAGTTCAGCGAAGAGTCTCTTTTTGCGGCGGCGAATTCATTCACTTAGCTGTACAATCACAACTATATATACATATTTTTGTATTTGCGTGTACATTAGGTTTATCCGATAAGAATAAAAATAAGTTAAGGTTACTGTTGCCAAGACATTTCAAAAATGTGATAAATAATCAAATTGTAACTAGGGCGGGGATGGAATGAAGATTGGTAAGAGGGTAGTGCAGATGCGTTGTCAAACAAAACATAGTTATTAATATTAATTAACATATAATACTAGTTGTATAAGGAGTGCAATAATCGAACATCTCGTCAACACAATGGTCATTTCATCTCAACAAACGCCTCCTCCTTCAAAGTCATAACCTACAACAAAAGACAATACTCTTTTGTCTCCTTTCTATTACTCAAGCCTTAGTCATTCAGTCCGAAAAACCAGAGTTATGTGTACAAAAGAACATCATCCAACCACTTCTACTACCACAGTGGTAACAACCGTGTGTGACTTCTACTCACTTGATGTTTCGGTGTGCTTGTTTTTCTTTTCTTCTAACTCTCCATAACCTTTGTCATTTTTAGAACGCTTACATAATTCCATATTCTCCTTTTGTTTCTATATCCATCCTAAACACAACTCACTCACATTAAACTATTCATCTTATTACGCAACTGGGCTACGTTTATTCAACTTCTTTTATGTGTTAATAATTTGTTTTTTTTTGACAACACATCACCACTACCCTCTGACTAATCTTCACCCCCAACCCCGCCCTAGTTACAATTTGATTACTCATCACATTCTTAAACTGTCTTGATAACAATAACCCTAACTTATTTTCATTCTTATCAGACAGAACTAATGTACATGCACACATATATACAAAAATAAGTATAGATAATTGCGATTGTACAGCTAAGTGAATGAATTCGCCGCCGCAAAAAGAGACTCTTCACTGAACTACGTGTCTGGTTTTCATTAATGTATGGATGGGGATTATTCATGAATTTGATTTGATCAAGGTTTGCTCACCGATTGATATCAGTTAGAGAACCATTGAAAGCCAGCAAGGAGTACTCGGCAGCTGTTTCTCTAGTCCTAATTTGGGACTCTTCAGCAGTATGCATCCCCTGCTAGGGTTCGAAATCAGGACCTTCCGGTTACAAGGCAAGCTCACAGACTATTCAGCTACTCAGGCCTGACTCACTGGCCAACCCACAAATTTTAACTTCTACCAATTCGTGGCATATTATTTGGTGCGACTGGCATCAGCCATTGTAATCACTGGCGGGTATTTATCCTCACTTCCAACCGGTTCGGTGGACCGCAGCGGTCACGACTTCTCAATAGAAGTGTAGACAAGTTTATCCTGCAGCCAGCTAGTCACTAGCGAACATCAGATCAATTTTTAAGTTTTTCAGGATGGACATGATTTTTTTAAAGTTCGCTCACACATTTTGATGGAGTACATGAAGGGAAAATTAAAAATTTTTTTAAAACAGCCTATTCTAATGAAAGGCAAAATAATGAATATTGTTTTTCAGAAGACAGATAGAAAAGAAGAAATTAAAAGTTCCATATAAGTCAAGAAATTAAAAACATCTTGAAAAGATGTTGAAAAGCAATGGTTACCCTCAAAGATTCATTAACAAATACGAAAGATCTGAGGTCTCAAATGTCAAACAAATCACAGTAGAGAAAAAGCCAATCTACATTCAACTTGATTATAAAGGTGAAAACATTGCAGCAATGGGAAACAGAAGATTGAGGACGTCACTAGCCACAGCCTATCCTGTAGTCAAGCTCGTTCTTGTCTGGTGCAATCAAAAATCGATAAGTATCCTTCTCATGTTAACTCCAACTGTATATATACAAATTTACATGTATCTGCGGGAGCAGTTACATTGGAAGAACAAAAAAGAAGGGCATATCTACGATTTTCTGAACATGTACCAAAAAGCTTATGTCTAAAAGGAACAAATGCTTTAAACAGTGTCATCGCTAGGCATCTCCTTGACACAGGTCATGAGGTGGACGTCGCTAGATCGTTCAAAATTATCAGTAGCCAAAGAGCTGAATTCTCCTCAAGCTTGCTGAAGCCATCTCCATCAAGTGCCTGAAACTTGATTTGTACTTTCAGAAAGGAACAGTTATCAATCTTTCCTTGTTCTGCCTGGTAACTGGATATTTTCATCTCTCTTTCATCTGAATACGTAATGCCGAAAGTTTCCATTGTGTATAGTCATTATTGTTCGGAATAGTGTTTAGTATTATACATATATATATTATTACTGTATGCATATATTGATTGATTTTCGTTTAAAAATGAACTCTGTGCAAGTATGGTAAAATTGTTTCTGTAGATATACTTAATAATGACTTTGGCCTGTAAGCAGCTGATGAGAAGCCAACGAAACTGTTGTTCTTGCTTTATTCAAATTCATAACGAGGGGAATAAATGTATGAAACAATCATTCTTCCATTATTATTATGGATGTATAAATATAACTGTAGAACCTGATGAAGAAGAGCAGGTTATCGAAAATAAAATAATCTAAATAAACTTACCACGTTCAATTTCTTTTACAATAGCCATAAATTTTGGCCATATAAGTTTCACAGCATAAAGTGATGTACTGACAGTATCTTTATTGGTTGAACAATCACCACCTGGGCTAGTAGTAGTACACGATGAATCAATAGCCAGCCAATAAGCTTGATAACCAAGTAATCTAGCTGTATCTGGTTGCCATTGACATGTGAATATTGTACTAGTTAATTGTTGAATTAAACGACATCGAAATTGAGGATTTGATGCTGATGAAATAGCCAATGATATACACAGGCCAGTTAATCCAGTCATATAACGTATATCTATGGGGGAACGTGAATTTCCCATTGGCTTGGTATCCGGTCGATAGATAGTTGTATTCATTTGTGAATTGGCTACAGTTTGTACATCTGTGTACATATTTTCATTCAATGTTGACAGATAACTCAGTATACGCTCATAGATTGTATACACCGTGTCTTGTAGATCAGTGGATTCGCTGATAATTTTCTGTGTAATTGGATTCATTGAATTTGAGATATGATCATCTGAGAAATTTAATATTGGCGTAGAAAGAACTAAAAATAGAGAGAGAGAGAGAGAAAATAGAAATCATACGATTTTGTAAACAGCGACAACAACAACAACAGACAACAATAAGCATAAATGGGAGGAACCTGAAAGAAACAACCTCTTTTACCTACCTGGGAACCATCGTTTCAACTACAGGTGGGCGGAACTGACCAGGATATCAAAGCAAGAATCGGAAAGGCAAGACAAGCTTTCACTACTCTCAAGTCTGTGTGGAGATCAACAGCACTAATCAGCGTGAAAACTAAGATCCGGATTTTCAACTCCAATGTGAAGTCAGTGCTACTTGCTATACGGAACAGAGACTTGGCCAGTGCGTCATAAAGAGCATCTCAAACAAACTACAGACCTTCATTAACAGTTGTCTTCGCTCAATACCACTCAAGATCAGATGGCCAGAAAAGATCAGCAACGGAGATATCTGGCAATGAGCGAACCAACCGGGAACCGATTGTGAAACAAATAGGCAGGAAGAAATGGAGATGCATTGGCTGGCCATACTCTGAGGAAACCATCAAGTGACATCACTAGACAAGCCCTCGAGTGAAACCTGAAAGGGAAGCGGCGAGTTGATTATCCAAGGGTGACTAGGAGGAGGTCATGTGAAGAGGAGATGAAAACATGTGGGCAGACTTGGAGCCAGGTGAAAACGTTGACAGAGAACCGAACGCAATGGAGACGCACGGCTGAAGCCCTATGTTCCTCTAGGAATTAAAGGAAACAATAATAATAATAATACGATTTTGTAAAACTATATACTACTAATATCTGTTTGAAATGAGTAGATGTAGGATACCATTCATGTCAACCGGTGGGTGGTGCTTGATTACCATTTATGGTATAACTTGGTTTCCAATGGAGACCACGGTGAAATTTCACCAATCGAATTGTGTAAGCTGTGAACTTGATCATCAAAATTTCAACTTGGTGTAACCAACGCTCAGTTAATCTGGGCTTAGTACGTTTACTTAAATAAAAATAATTTGGTGGATGGTGACTAACAGTGTTGGAATCCAGGACGACACGTGTTTCGTCCTATATGGGGCTCGTCAGCTAAATGGATGTACCTGCATTTCCCAGTGAGTCAATGATAGTATCCCCACTGGGGCTTGAACCTAGTACCCATTGTTTCAAACTCCAAAGCATTATACACTAAACCGATTAGGCCACGAGAGGTAACAAATGAGAAAAACACTACATTTACCAAAGTGGACGCCCCCATCTTCGTCTTCATATCCATGAACATAAGCTAACCGTCAAAAGATATGACATCCACTCCCTCATATCACTACATACAGACAACCAGGGACATTAATTTCGACTGGGAGTATGTTCAAATATTAGACAGAGGAAACACCAAGAATGCTAGAGAATTTTTAGAAGCCTGCCTGGTATTCTTGTGAATCGTCAATCAGTAGACACATCGAGATAGACAAAATTTATCAACCGATAAGAAAGAAACCTCACACACAAAGGGTCAAAGTTCAAGTCGAGGAAATAATCAGTTCCAATACAAGTGGTCTAGAGGGTGTGACAATCACATTCAAGGCGACCAGGAGAAATGACTAATAGACTCGTGGAGAAATCTAAAAGCTCACTTCAAACTGAAGTATGCGTAGACTACATGGACTACTAGCTTAAAGACAGGCAGTGGAATGGTTGGTGGGGCGTGTTGACCGCTTCACTTTGTGCGAATTTGCATCAGCCAGCCCAACGGCCATTGCAAGTGGAAGACATGAAAAGCCTGGCTAGTTGTTTTGATCACAGCTGTCTACGTTCTGTCTCCCATAATAGGTGGTAGGTATAATAGGGTAAGTAATATCCAGGTTAGGTATCGAGTGTTAGGTCAGGAGGAAAAGAAAATCGATGAGGTTGTGAAGCAGCTACATCGATTGAGATGGATAGGATATGTACTGAGCATGCCAAGCGATCGCATAGACACAGAATTGATCTGTGAAAGAGTTAGAGGTGATCAAACCACAATATGAAGTCAATCAATGAAATCTTTAACACTTAGTTTGAGCTGGCCACGCAGGGAAGTGAAAACTTCCTGACTGGTTGGGGTCCTCGGGATGGTAAGAACCAATGAAGGCTGGAGACAATTGGTCCGATATGGCCTAAAATCATGATTGCCAGTGGCTGGCGCAGATGCATTCACTCTTTGTGATTCGCCAGTCATATTCAGTAAAACTCTATTGTTGTTCTTCCATATTACTATTCTTTTTCCCTTACTCACACTTTTGTTTATTATCTCTCTTTTGCTGAATCTCTCTTTACTCTCTCCTCTCACTTTGTGTGGTACATAGAGGGAGTGTGGCAATTTGGACTGCTGTATTTCTGTGGAAAGTTCTACGTGGAAAACAGTCAGTCAGTCACCTAAGCGTTTGAAGAAACAGATGTTTCATTAAGAAAACATGTTGCACAGTGAAACTATTTTATTAATTACTGGATGGCGAGGTTTTGAATACAATTTTTTATTGTTCGTAGCTGTAACTACACAACTTCGGAACACCACTTTTGTACTGCTCCTTCTTCCTTCTCATTTGCCGTAGGGGTCGTAGAATTTTCCAGATTTCCAGGACTGGGAGGAATTGGTTGAATCATTCTCCCATTGCACGTATTCGCTCTCAGTCGATTGGATAAATTAGGCTTCACTTTCAAGTGTTAAATTCCATAAATTTGATTGGTTTACAGTTTGATTACGGATTGATCTTGGTTTTTTATAACTGTCCTCTAACTGATACGAATCCGTGATTAAACTTGAAATGAAGCTTTAGTTATATCAATCTCTCCCTCTCCACCCAGTCATACTAGATTTTAAGACCGCCTTCTTATCTCGTCCTATTGTATGGTTGTGCGTGTGCAACTGCATGTGTAAAGAGGTAGCTGAATTTTGTTTCTTACGTTTCTTCTCTTATTTAAGATAAACTTATCTAGATTTTGCTAGCGTTTTGTGGTCCGCTAATCTGTTTGAACCCGTCCTATTACTGTGGTGAGAGCTGGCTGCGAACAAGCCGAATAGGGCTCATGAGAAAAAACAATAACCCCAACGAATCACAGCAGATTTAGTGTGGGCGGATACGATTCGCAGATACATGGCTTAACTTTCTAAGAAACGGCCACAAAGAGATGACAGAATAACCCTCAGCAAGCAAACGACCAATCAGAAGATATTGCTTCTCCACTGACAATAATATACACAAAATCTATAAATATTTGTTGATTTTCTCAATAAGTGGTCTGTTGCCTGGCACTTCTCCTTTGTTATTACATTTGGTGTCACTGCCAAGATACAAACCTGTCGTTACACTACTACTCCTATGGCCTATGTATTGGACCTTATAATCATAGCAGGGTATTAGGTAAAGTCAATTATTTTGTATCTGTCATATTACCTAAACATTATTGACGTAGGGGATTACATATTGCCACAGTGTGTCCAAGTTTTACACACGTATATTAATTATCAAGTATTGGTATGCACAGGGGATTTGATTAGTTAAAGGTTTTTATTTATGAGGTGACATCAGTTAGAGAACCCCATTGGAAAACCAACCGTGGAGTACTGGACAGCAGTTTCTGTCGACCTAGTTTGGAGCTCTTCGGCAGTGCGCACCCACTCCACTGGATTTCAAACCCAGGACCTTCTGGTTACAAGATGAGCTCGTAGACCATCTAGCCGTTGGGACTCAACCCAATGGCCTGTGAATTCCAGCTTCTTTTCAAGTATTGGTTTTGTAGGGATTTTTTTTGATTGCATGGACGATTTCATCATGAGCTGACATCAGTTAGAGAACCATTGGAAAACCACCTGGGAGTACTGGACAGCTGTCTCCCCAGTCCTAGTTTGGGACTCTTCAGAAGTACGCACCCACCGGGATTCGAACCCAGGACCTTCTGGTTACAAGGCGAGCTCGTAGACCATTGAGCCACTGGGACCCGATCCAATGGTCCTTGAATTCTAACTTCTGCCAATTCACGACATAGCGCGTCCAATTCACAATGTCTTCTTAGATGAGTTACTGCCTCATCTTCAGGTTGCTGTAACCTTCTGGTCACGGCTTCCCACTACAACCACAGAGTTAACTGCCTGAATAGGGCCAGTCACTAGTGAGCATCAGATTAATTGTCAGTGGTTCTCTAACTAATGTCAGCTCATGATGAAATCCTCCATGCAATTCCAGCTTCTATGAATTCGTGATACATACAGCGAAACTGTCACTCACACGCGAGTAACTGTTCTCTGACCTGACTTGATTGATCCCGCTGGTTACGACCCCTCGTTATATTCATTAAACAAATGTGAATGGTAACGTTCGCTAGAACTTAAGTAAATGAAACAAGCATTCATAGTTTTATCATAAGTCACATTATCAAAGTTATCAGAGTGTTAATTTACTAAAAAAGAAAGAGTATTGAACATCAATATATCATAGATGGACTTTGTATATATCACAAAGAATAAGTACATAGACAGAGAAGAACACAAAAGAAATCAAAGAATGAACTTACATATTCGACTTAAACATGATATAGAATAATTGAAACGATCTGGAAAATTCATATCTAAACCATGCAAGAGGATTTGTAGAACACGATTCAATTCAGCTCGACCAGCCAGATAAGTGAAAGCTTTTAAATGACCATGACGGACTGATGGAGAAACGTGTTCATAGGCTGGTTTATATGAAGCCTAAAATAAAACAAACAAGATGTAACAATGACAATAATAATAATAAAAATAATAATAGTACAATCTCATTAGTATAATTATTGATAGAAATTAAATGATCATTCATTTCAACACAAACTTGATACATTACGGGAACCAAGAAAGACATCACATCGAAAATTTCCCGGAAGAGCATCGTGATGACAAAGGCAAGCATATTGACCAATAACATTGAAGGAAAGCTTATTAGTAAGTGTTACTTTCAGAAAGAGAGGAAAGAAGAGGAGATCGAGACATGTTGTTTACTGATTACGAGGCTCAGACGTTTTCGATATCTCAAGGCACTGATTCGAATTACCTCATAGGCAACCCAACTCTCCCCGTTTTTCATCTAGTTTCAGGGCTACCAGACACTATGGGATGATGTGTCTAATGTCACCGAAAGTGGCATTCAAAGATGATCTCTATCATGTCCAAACGCGCACCACTAGACCTCAGAATTATTCGCAGGATGATACCATTGGATGAAAGTGATAGATGGGAACAAAGAGTCGGTGAGCATCCTTATGGCTCTGAGAGGCCAGGTGTCACATGCATAGTGCAAGATGGCACGCACTGCAGGCATTGATAGTTAAGCTAAAGTTATGACGGTGGAAAAGTCGGCCCAAGTTGGCGTAGGTCATTCTAGCTTTCAATGTAAGTCTGGAAATCTCAACCGTCTTACCTCCACCCGCACTCACCCAACTACCTAGATACACAAACTTACCGACTACTCATAAGTGTTCACTTGCAAAGGTTCAAAATGGATACCCACCACGTTTCATGGAGAAGAACATGAAACCAAGGCCAAAAAGAGAAGAATACACTTTAGTGCAAAAGAAAACACTTTATTTGAATCTGGAATTCAGGGGAGACCTAGCAGCAGATATCCTTAAAAGGAGAATCTCCAATTCCCTGAAGAAGACTTTTCCGGCAGAAACTCTAAGAGTGATATCCCCTAGCCACCGACTACTTCGGAGCAACGGGAAGAACAGAATTCCGCATACGGCCACTTCAATGTGCATATATCAGTTCACCTGCTCTTGCGGAGCTAGGTGCATAGGTCGTTCTATGCAGGTCTTATCAAAACGTGTTAGAGAACATCATCTGGTATGGCTGCAAAGAGGAGGCACTGGTTCAATCAGAAGCGCCATAACTGAACACCTCGTCAATACCTGTCATGGAATCTCAACTGACTCATCATTCAGAGTTATTGATAAAGTAAACAAAATCTAACAAAGGCAGGCAGTGTGTTTCCGATCATATGCATCGAAAAGCCGGAGCTATGTGTTCAAAAGAGACTAGTCCAGCCTTTAAAACTACCGTGGACCTAGTTCGGTATGTTCCCTTATCCTTCAGTTTTTGTTTTATTCTCTGTGTGTGTAATTTTCTCTATTTGTCTTCATTCAATTCATCCTATTTTTTCAGTTATAAAATCAGTTATTTTAAGTTTGTTTCCATGCTCCTCCTGATCACACTTAGAATCCGTTTAGAATAACCATTTTACAACTGTATTCTAATCCTGTGTAATTTTTTGTTTCTTTACCTTTTGTAATCTACATTCACACCTCCTAACTTATATTTCAAGTTGAAAACTTTGATTTCAATTTGTTTCCATGCTCATTTTGTTCACACCTGTAATTTGTTCTATCCCTGCGTCTCTAAGCCTCTTGTAATTCATTTAAAATCATTTCTCCAGTTATCAAATATTAATTTTGCATACGTTGTAACTGTTATCTAATCCTATGCAATCTTGTCTCAAAGCCCCTTGTAATCTATATTGGTATCTTCAAACTTTCATATCAAGTTGAAAATTATTATCACCTTCGTTACTATGTGGAATTAAACAAATAATATTTGTATCCATGTAAACTAATCTATATAATGAATGCGATTGTACAGCTGCTTTTGAGAATGAAATCGCCGAAAAGACAGATATCTTTGCTGAACTTCTTGTTCTTTTCAATCTAAACTGGATTATCAAGGCAGGTTTAAAGTAATGACAAATAAATGTTCGACTGGTTTAAACCATTGTGATACTAACGTTCGGATGCTGTGGGGTTTGTTTATCTATCCTTGCCGTTGAAGAGTGATCAACAAAGTCTGATCAATAAGCAAAGATTTAGGGAGGCAATCGACAGAAATTACTATGCGGCCAAACTTATTTTCATAGAGAAAACGAGAACTATGCTGTCCTGTATACCCTCACAGCATCCAAACCATAGTGTCATATCCCTTTGTGTTTACCAATTTACATGTATGTGTGGTCACACGTACATATGGAGCACTCATTGGTCTCTGAAGATTAGAGCCACAAAACATATCCCAAAAGTGGATGCAACAACAACAAAAAATCACCGCATACAACTGATCCCAGAAATAGATGTCCGACATCATCTATAGCGAAGCACATCATACAGAAGAGTCAATAAAGTTGATTTCAATAATGCCTTTAAACAAGCTTGGGTCACATACTTAAATTTGTTGAAGTCTTGGCTATAAAAAGGTTTGAACTTGTCTCATGCGTTCAGAAATTATTCATCATCACTTTGAACATGCCTTGGTAATCCAATTTAAGATGAAGGTTAAATTTACTTAATGATATTTTCTTTTCTCTTAATCCACACCATCACGTCATCCTCCTACCTCCCCTCATTTGTGTGACCTTGACTTGTAAACAATTCAACCTATGTAATGAAATCATGTATGCTCTCTTGCCTTCTGTATAAATGTGTGTCTGAAATGTGTTGCGCAAATACGCACATTACACGTTTCAGATAAACTGGGTCTTATTGCTTATTGGATCTCTCAAACGCCATGCACGTAATCAGATTGATTCAATTCAAACGTAACAGAAAGGTTCTATGCTGTCAACGAATTACCAGAAAACTGAAAGAAACTATTTTTAGATTATGTGGATGTAATTGTGAGTGATAGGAATCGTTTTGTGTTCAATCTTTCGGATGTAATACTTAGTGAAGTGGATCTACAGGTTCTATCGCTTGGCCCTAAATTTTGTGATAGCCATGTTAAAATTAACAAAATGGATGCACAAATTCAGTTCGAAAGTCTCTACACACAAACGGAAGGCCTAACACCCTCATCAACTGAAGATGTTGAAAGACTTAAATCAACACTGGTCGATTGTTGCTATTATTATATGAATAGTAAACGCAATTCGGATAGTATTTTGACCAAAAAAACATAGAGAAGCTCTGGATGTTCTCCGTAAAAATGATAACATAATAATAACAAGACCGGATAAGGGCTCAGGAGTGGTTATCATGAACAAAGCGGATTACTTTGAGAAGATGAATACTATTCTTAATGACAATCTAAAATTCCAAAAAATTTCCTCTTCTCTGGATCCGACTGAAAAGATAGAGAAACAGTTAGCGGAAACATTGAGAAGACTGAAACAACAAGGCTTTATCTCACAGAGTCAGTATACATCACTTAAACCCACTGGAACGTTCACACCAAGACTATATGGCTCGCCTAAAGTGCACAAAAATGGTGTACCGCTTCGACCAGTATTAGATATGTTAAATTCACCATACCATCCCGTAGCCAAATGGTTAGTTGAACTCTTACAGCCTCTTCATACTGAGTTGGTGAAACACAGTGTAAAGGATACTTTTGGATTTGTTGAAAGGATAAAAGATTTAAATGTTGACAATAAATTCATGATATCATTTGACGTATCTTCCTTATTCACCAATGTACCACTTATGGAAACAGTGGACTTTGTATGCGAAGAACTCATAAGACGAAACATCGATATTGGCATTCCTATATCTTTTATGAAAGAGCTTCTCTTGAAATGCACAATGAATGTCCACTTTTTATTTAATAAGGAACTATATAGACAAATCGACGGTGTGGCAATGGGGTCACCACTAGGACCCATTCTAGCCGACATTTTCCTTGAGAAACTAGAAAATGGGCCTTTGAAGGATGTTATTAATGAACTTGAATTCTATTGTTGGTACATGGATGATACATTTTCGATTATTAAAAATGAGGAGGAAGCAAAGAACATCCTGAATGGATTTAAAGAAGTTCATCCTGCAATAAATTTTACTACTGAGAAAGAAAAAGACTCTAGTATTTCATTTTTAGACGTCCTTATGACCAGAAAAGAGGATGGCACAATAAGGAGAAGTGAATATAGAAAACCTACATCAACGGGTCAGTATACTCATTTTTTCACCTCACCCTTGAAATACAAACGCAATCTGATAAAGTGCTTGGTTCACAGAGTAAGAGCAATTTGCTCGGATGAATGTCTTGATGAGGAACTTTATAATATTAAACGGTTACTGAGTGAAAATGGTTATCCAGAAAAGTTTATTGATAAGAATATGAATCTGAAATCAAGGCAGCCCAAGGTACCAACAGTTCTTAAAAAGGCCTTATTCTTACAAATGCAGTTCTTTGGGGAAAACATCAGCGAGATACTAACACAGCGCCTTAGAAATGCGGTAAAAAGAGCATTCCCTGCTGCCGAATTACCCTGTGTCTTCAAAACCACTCCTCTTTTGCGTTCGGGAGTAAAAGACAAACTGCTTAATTTCGCCACTTCCATGTGTATCTACAAATTTAAATGCTCCTGTGGAGCCAGTTACATAGGCCGTACAATTAGGCGTGTTTCTCATCGAATTTCCGAACATCACCCTGCATAGTGGTTAAGTAAAGGACAAACAAAATCTATTCGTAGCGTTATTCTGTCTCACCTAACAAAATTGACGTTAACCATGCTTTCAGGGTCATTTACCGCATATCTACAAATCTCAATTTTGCCTTAAGAGTTCGACTACTAAATATTGCTGAGGTGCTGTTGGGATCCAAGCCTAATTTGTGCATCCAAAAGAAGTTAGTTCAGATATTATCCTTACCTTGGCCATCTAGGTTTGAATGATCCTCAATTTTGTGGAATTTTCCTAATTTTAGTTGATATTCTATTTGCTATTATATTTTTATTATTATTATAATTTAAGCATCTTTAATGAACTGTAATTCCATTGTGATCTTACTTAACAAATCGATAGTATTTAAAAAAAACACTAATATTGTTATTGACTACTATTCTAGAATATTCTATGTATATAAACATATACGTATATAATTGTAGAGGAACTTATCGAAAAGGATATTCTTTGCTCAATTATTTTGTGTCTTATTGTTTTCTCTAAGTTCATAAAAGGAACTAATCACTTTATATATATATATATATATATATATATATATATATGGTTGTACCTTTGCTATCCTGACGCTCCCCTCCCCAAACTTTCCCTTCTTTACAGGGCTTGCTAGATGCCAAGCGGGATTTAGGTGTGCATCGACCAAGAATAGAACCCGGACCCCATGTGTGTGTGGTTGACGAGTATTCTATACCTGAAGCCCTGACATTACTGACTTTCTTTTAATATAAATATACATAAATATATAAACTAAGGGTATTTACAATATAAATAGAAAAGCAAAGAATACCTTCTGGAAGAGCCTCTTCTTTACTTCATGTCGATCATAATCTCTAACTGGATTTCTATTCTCTGGTGATTTATTACGTTTCACTTTATCAGCGGATTCATCATCTGCATCAGACGACAGCAGGTCTTCTTCCTCTTCAACTGATTCATCACCACTGTCATCTTTACCACCGCCAACATCACCATTTTCCATCTCTTCAACAACATCATTATCATCCAGACCACCGTCATCTAGATCTCCACCAGCACCACTGTCTGGATCACCTTCACCGACAAGATAAGCACTGAATGATCCACGTGGATATAATGGAAACTTAACATAGATTAACGACTGAACAGACCATATTAAAGCATATAGTGGTCGTGTAAACCGTAACGGCATTTCTGGTCTAGTTAAACCATATTCCAGGTCATTGAGAAGATTGGGTAGAACTAGACTTGGTCGTAGTTTACATAACATTGGAATAATTTCTACAGTTATATTAACGATTGTAATTGATTTTGAATAGAGAAGATGATTTAAACAGATCGGTGTGAACAGATTGACAATTTGATCAATTTGTTCCACCGAGAGATAGAACTGGAATTGTGAAAAGACAAAAATAAATAAATAAATAATACAAAGGATATCAATTTTATGTCCTGTCTCTATAATATACATTTCACAACAAAGGATATAAGTCTCCTACTTTCACCATTAATGGGTTCTGGGGATTCCATTTGCTTCTGAAGCCAGCCCATACTTTCAGAGATCGATGAATCCTCCCTATGTATGTGTGTATGTGTGGCCACACGTACATTCAGTAGAATCCAACGAATCCGCACAGAAGATACACTTGATGATCATGAAGAAAGAAAGTTGACACAAACTCTGGTTGATAATAATTACCCAGACAAGTTCATCAGGAGATATAAAGTAGTCAGAACTCCATGACCCACTCTCCAACACGTCACTAAGAAAGACGTGTACATCAAGCTACCTTACACAGGTGATCATAGCAGCTTGACAACTAGACATAAATTGAATGCTGTGGTTAAAAAGACTTTCTAAGCAGCTCAGATCAGAATAATTGAGAATGTGAAGCCAATAAATGCATCTAAGCCATTAGAATATGGGAAAAATGATGTCACATCCCACTGTAATTAACAATTTGAATGTACGTGTGGACACACATACATAGGATGGAGGATTCATCGATCTCTGCAAGTAAGGGTTGGCTTCAGAGCATATTCCTAAATGGCTACAGAAGCAAATATAATCCCCAGAACCCATTTATGTTGAGAAAAGGACACCTAGCTCCTTTATTGTGAAATAAAAGAATAGAAAAGAAACAACATAAAGGTATAAATGACTAAATCACCAGTTCGACGGGTCACACTTCAGAGTAGTTCTGTGTTTCTAACACACCTTGTAGATACGCTTAAGCATGAAGACGATGTTAATAAGGCAGTTAAATTAATCTATCGCATTCTTTACAAGTTCGTCGTCTACATTATTAGCTGAAGCAATCACAAAACCACCTGAAGTAGATAAAGCTATGCGTTCTGAAACAATTCGTGTCGCTACTTTCCTTACACTAGGGCATCACTACATGAATGTAATGACCATACTCCCCACCCCACTCCACCCTTCGCCGAAGCCTTTTACAAGCTATCACTATCTTCACTATTTTTTTATACTAATTACTTTATCTTAGAATATTTATCACGTAACCAATTTGAATTAATAATAATAGCGACAGATTATATCTATGTATATATTATTATTACTATTATTGTAACTATTACTACTGATATTACTCTGTTTGCAATTCCTGATATATTTTCTAATGACTAATTGTTTATCTAAGTGATGTAATTGAAGCGTAATACATTTTATCTTAATTTTAAATCTCTCATACTCCCTCTCCTGCTTATCCATTTGAACATGACCTGAAAAACATTCGCATTTCTGCATGACTAATTCAATGTAGTTTATTTGCTTATCAGTCTTATATCTTCTATAGTTTGGTTTGTAAGGGTTAGTTATGTTTTTACGAGTTGATCACGGATTGATATCAGTTAGAGAACCATTGAAAACCAGGGAGTATGGACAGGTGCTGTTTCATCCTAGTTTGGGAATCATCGGGAGTACGCACCCACCGACTGGGTTCGAACCCAGGACCTTCCGGTTACAAGGCAATCAAGCTTGTATACCATTCAGCCACTGGGACCCGATTCAATGGCCAGCCCATGAATTCTAACTTCTACCGATTCGTGATTTAGTGCGACCCTAACCATTGTCGTTGTTGGGACATCCGTCCACACACGTGACATCTAATTAGACCTCACTGGTCACGAATTCTCACTAGCGAGCATCACATTAATTATATCTCCCAATGTAATTTCAACAGTATGTATATCCGTGTATGTAGAGTATTCAGCTGACGAGGAGTTCTACCGAAATTTGATGAATCCATCATTAAATCCTCCTGCTTTATTAACCACATTGGTTGCTTGTTTTAGATAAGGATCTCATTGAAAAGTGAGTGAGGTCTATTTCTTCACTGAATCCATTTTGTAATCAATGCTCCCCCTCCTCCCCATCATCATCACGATCATCTCATAAACACGATAAACACACAAAAATTAAAAATAGGACTATTAACAAAAGTCAACTTACTTCAGGCGGTGGATAGCCTAAGTCTAGCGCTTCAACTGGTGGGAATAATTCGTCACGCAAACGACTAATTAAACAACGTAAAAATTTCCACATGAACACTGCCAACAATTTAGCTGAATCAATTTGATTAGATGAAGGGTGATAGAAGGATTCCAGGGACTGGTCAAAATAGAAGCAAAAGTGTATATCACATTAGAGAAATATATATACATGCTTGTGGAGATTACTGAGAATAGCCTTCTTTGTGGCTGAGCTACGTATCAGTTTCTCCAGGCGACAAATGATGTGTGAAGGATAAACTACCACAGCTTTGGGCCACTTCAATGTGTGTTTATAAGTTCACCTGCTCGTGTAGAGCTAGTTATATTGATCGCACAAAGTCACCGCACAATTTCCAAACACATCTCTGAACATTATCTGGCATAGTTAGCAAAAGGACAATGCAAGACAGTTAGTAACTAGCTCAATTCTCGAGCACTTGGTGAACTCAAGCCACACAGTTCCACTAGAATCGTCTTTCAAGATCATCTACAAGGTGAGGCCAAATGGTACAAAGGGCGTCATCAGGTTTCGGCATTTGTGTATGGCGGAGGCGTTGGTAATTCGTCAATACAACTCCAAAATGTGTATAAAGAGAAAGTTTGTCCAGTCTCTTATTCTACCATGATCTTAACCTCTTCACTAGTCGTTTCCTGTAGAAAAAAAATTAGATTTTTTCTTTCCCTTTTTTAATTTTACTTTTAATTTGCTTTTACTTTAATAACTAATTGAATATTATCACTCTCATATGTTCCTTTTGTACATTTTCACACCGTCTTCACACTTATTAAAATTGGCACTCAACTACATATATGTAAGTCTTCTAGAGGACAGTGATATAATGGTCGATGATTGAATGTGAAATGAAAGCCTGAGTCACCAGAGGATTCGAACTGATAGTAGTCCAGTACTCATCGGTCAACTTATCCTCCTCACCTGGCATTCTATGCTAAACATCTGGATTGCTGATAAGGGAGGTAGGCTAATCAACGAATTCCATATTATTCTGTTTATTAAATATATTACACACTGTGAAGAAACAGTATTGCTATTTACTGGATGACAAAGTTTCGAACATAACTCTTTATTGTTCGTAAACATACCAATCAATTATAATCACACAACTTCGAAACTTCACTTTTATAGCTTTCTTTACTCTTTCCCATTTGTCGTAGGGATAGTAGGATTTTCCATATATCCTGGTGGACAAATGTTGAATCATTTCTATTGCAGGCACGTATTTTCAGTTGATTCGATAAATAAAGCTTCAGTTATCGATCTCTCCATCCAGCCTGTGACATTAGATTTTAAAACTGTCATTTTATTCCATCATCCTATTGAGTGGTTGTGCGTAACTGCATGTGGTATAGTGCTATAGCTGATTTCTTATCTTGCTGGAGTCATCTAATCTAGATTTTGCTACGCTTTTGTGCTCCGCTGGTTCGACTGACCCTATTCTACTATTTTGACCTATGTGTTTGATCTGACAACCATTGCAGGCAAGGTATCAGACATACTAAATTGATTTGCTTAATTGGCTCTGCAGGATTCTTTAACCGACAAATAAACTGACACATATTTCAATCAACGAAGTTGTGAAGTTATATCTTTTAAGATGGTTAGTTCATGTATAATCCCCATCCAGGCATTAATGAAAACAAAACACGTAGATCAGCGGAAAGTCTTTTTTCGCCGGCGGCGAATTCATTTGCCACCTTAGCTGTACAATCGCAAATATATATGTATGGGTTATTTTATATGTATGTGTGCATTAAGTTTGTCAAACGAAAACAGACAATTGGTTATGATTATTTTAACTAAACAGGTGAATATTGGTATTACGAAATCATGTAAGAGATCTAAATGAATACAAGAATTATAAGCAATTAAAGAACAGACAAAAAAACAAAATTAAGTCATCAAAATCAGAAAATTAAATCAAATCAAAAAAGTTGTTACCAAGACAGTAGAAGTGGTTGAGTATACAATTCTTGTATTCATTTAGAAATCTTACGTAATTTCGTATTATCTACTTTGTTCCTATGTGCATCCTGAGTAAAACTCACTCATCAAACTATTCACATTATTACATAACTTCTTTTTTTTTTTTTTTTGATTTACAGCTTGATTTCCACACCGTATTTTCAGTACAAGTGTGGAACTTTCAGCATGGATATCGGTTGCCCAAATTCAGGCATACCATAGATATCGGGTGTGCGCCGGCAGGGGTTCGAACCCCGGACCATGTGCATGGTCGGCGAGAGTCCTAACCACTGTGCCACCGACGCACAACTGTTTGTGACAACTCATCACCTTTGTTACTGCCCTAATTTCATTAGAACATCTAATTTTCTTGACTGATTTTGTATATTACGTAATGCCAATTACCAATATTCACCTGTTTAGTTAAAATAACCATAACCAATTGTCTATTATTGTTTGACAAACTTAATGCACACATACATACAAAATAACCCATACATATATATTTGCGATTGTACAGCTAAGAAAATGAATTCGCCGCCGAAGAAAGAGACTCTTCGCTGATCTACGTGTTTTGTTTTCATTGAAATGGTTAGGACAAGTTTTGTGCATGCCTTCTCTGATGAACAATGTTAGCTGACTGGCAAAGGACG